CACACACACACACACACACGGGGGTGGGGGGGGAAAAGAGATGGAGTCTATTTTGTATTGGCCATCTATTGCTGAACATGGTCCCTGCTTTGGGGTATGACTGATATACTTAGTGACACTCCTGTGCAAACAAAAGAAAAACAATTGTCTTTTTGCCAGCAGATATCAATTGCAAACAGCTTCTTGGTTGTGGGTGGAACTTTGTGTTTGCTTCCCTTTCTCAGTGCTGGGCTTTTGTCTGGTTTGAAACTGGCGGTCTGTGCACTGTTACAGCCTCTGTGAGCTCCTTTGCATATCAGTCCTGCTATGTCTGGAAGACATTGTCTACTTGGAGTCATTTACCTCCTCTTCCTCTTAGAATCTTTCTGTCTCCTCTTCTCCATAGAACCTGAGCCTTGGGGGGAGAAGATTGGAAAAAACATCCATTTAGGACTGAGTGCTCCAAAGTCTCCTGCTTTCTGCATATCGTTCTGTTGTGGATCTCTCTGTTAGTTTCTATTTACTACAAGTAGAAACTTCTCTAATGAGGGTTGAGTGATGGTCTACTTTATAGACCTAGCAATATGCCGTTAGGAGTCATTTTATTGCTATGTTCCTTTAGATTAATGGCAGTAAGTTTTATCCCAGGCTATCACCTATCTATTCTGAGGTTTTGGCCCCTTCAGCACGGACCAGTATCAATACCACCTCATAGAGTGGACCATAAATTCAATCAAAAAGTGAGCGGTCACTCCAGAAACATTTGTGCCATGATTGTACTCAATCTGAGTTCTTATTTTGGTTCTTGGGACCAAAATAGAGCCTAACAAAGCTTTAGTTTTATTATTTAAATAATAGTAAAATATACGAATCATGATAAAGGATAATATCAAATAAAGCAAAAACTTATGAAGATAATTTGTGTGATTATTTTGAATATGCTAGTCAGCAGGTTTTTAAACAAATTACCACATTGTGCCAGTCATAGTGGAGTTTTAAAATGTTTTGTTAAAAAGTATATATAACTTAAACTTCCAATAAAAATTTTTCCTTACTTTGTCAACTATTGTATTAATCTCTGTTATATCACTTTTTAAAATTGTATGTGTATGTGTATTTTGTCTATTGATGTCTTTGCAACTTTTGCATATCTGGTGTATTTGGAAGCCAGAAGAGAGTGAGGAATTCCCTGGAACAGATGTTTGTGAGCCACCATGTGAGTACTGAGAATTAAACCCAGTTCCTTCTGAAGAGCAGTGTTCTTAACCACAATACACGATTATTTTTGAGCCTTTGTTTCATTAATTTAATTTATAATTATAATTGTTTTGCAATCAGAGCATATGTGTGCAAGCAGAGGGCTCAGAGAAACAGCAAAGGTCCTTGGGATCTATGGAGAGTAAAAGTGGCTTCTTAGGGCCAGTGGGGAAAATCCTGCCTTAAGACTGGCCATCAGCATCCCCTTCCTTTTATCTTCTATAGGCTCAGTCATTCTTTAGAACAGGGGTTCTCAACCTTCCTAATGCTGTGGCCCTTTAATACAGTTCCTCATGGAGTGGTGACCTCCAGACATATCATTATTTTGTTGCTACTTCATAATGGTAATTTTGCTACTGTAATGAATTATAATATGAATATCTGATATACAGTATATCTGATATGTGACCCCAAAATGTTACAACCACAGGTTGAGAATCATTGCTCTTCAGAGGGTTTATTGACAACATTCTAAACAAACCACATTCAAATTATGTCAAGAGTAAAGAGGGAGATTCTTCTGGAAATTACAGAAGAAACATCAGTGTGAATCAGTCATGACATTCCTGTCATAAGAGTAGCTTATTATATTTGCTGTAGCAAAAACTACAGCAGCCACAAATACACTGTACAGAAACATACTCAAGCTCAATTACATTGACATATAGATTTCTACTGAGTTGCGGGTTGAAAATGTTGAAAGCAGAACACATGTGCCAAGGATAACCCTTTTGGGTACCACGCCTATTTC